CCATAAGTTAAGAATGAGAACAACCCAACTTGAGACAAGCCCAGTTCCACTCTTTTAATATTAAGGCCACTTAGTTAACCTCAGTGGGCCCCAGCTTCCTCTGTTAGAAAATGGGTCTAATACTATCTACTTCCCAAAGTGCTTAGAGATGATGTACATAGACCAAGTAAATGTTTGGGAAAGGGTAGTAATTACTAATTATACCTTTTTATATGTTATGTAAATATAAATAGGCTATGTTTTCATTAGTATAGTTCTTATCTGTATGCTGTTTTTACTATAAGCATTAGAAAAGGGCGCTGCTTCACAAGAAATCTTAACATCTTCATCTTTTCTGAACTGATACTGGATTCCCATCCCCTGGGCTGCGGACCCCTGTTAGGAACTGGGCTGCACATCAGGAGGTGAGCTGCCAGTGAGCCAGTATTACTGCCTGAGCTCCACCTCCTCTCAAATCAGTGTGAACCCTGTTATAGTGAACTGTGATGCGAGAGATCTAGGTTGTGTGGTCCTTATGAGAATCTAATGACTGATGATCTGAGGTGGAACAGTTTCATCCTGAAACCATCCTAACCCTGCACCCTTGCCACCGTCCGTGGAAAAATTGTCTTCCATTAAACCAGTCCCTGGTACAAAAGAAGACTGGGGACCACTGCCTTAAAGTATCCATTGTATATAATTAATTAACTTCAGATTATTTTCTATATTCTGTGCTTCAGATGAGGAGAGGAAAAAGATAAAATAGGACATAGAATACAGAGTATAGAGCATTTAAAAGAAATAGAGATTCAGGGCCTCAGAGAGCTCCACTTAAAGAATATTGGGTCAGGATTATGTCCCTTACTAGCTGCTGTGTCCCTAGGTTCAACATGAGCTTAGCACAGAGTAGGTTCTAATATATATTCGTTGGATTATTGGAATGAATGAATGAATGATCAATGATAGGTGAGAGAAGACCAAGTATTTTTGTGAAGACTGTTTACCTAAATAATTGGTAAGACCATTTCTGAAAACTTAACTCTGTACTACATATGCATGTAGATATACATAGATGTTTGCCCCCTGCTTGCGTTCATCTGTTTAAAGAGTTTTTTATTCAGACGCCATACTTCTTTGATCACAATCCCTATAGTCTAAGCCATTTTTTGGCTAACAATGTAACATAGGGATAATAATTAAAACAACAGTAGCAATTTACAATGCCAGGTACTGTGCTGGGTCCTTTACGTGGATTAATCCTTACAACAGCCTATTATAGTAGATTTTAGACAGTGTGGTTTGGTGGTATACCCAAGATACAGACCAGGCGAACTGACATCAGAACCCATGCTCCTGAATACTGCAATGCAATGCATCTTTTGCTGTGAAGATAGAGATCATGTTGACCATTCCCTGTGCTCGATGTTCACTATTCTTGGAGTAAACCATAGGAAAAAATAGCCAGGAGCCTCTTTTTGAGAGTGAAGTTTGTAGTGAACACATATTGGTTCTCACTGTCCAACATCTCTGCCTTTTTCAAATGAGGATAGTCACTAATATAACTGGCAAACTACCCTTTCTCCATTAAAGATAGTCTTAACAGGAGGAACTCCTTTTGGTTTTTACCAAATCACCCATTAATTATTCTCTTATTTCTCAAGATAATGAAATTAGAAAACTGAAAGATACTGTGCTCTAGTTACTTCTAGGAGAGGGAAAACACTCTGCTCTCAAGAGAAGATTGACATGAAGAATATGAACATTTGCATGACTCAAAGCTACTGTATTCTCTATGTCTAACACCATTGGTAGGATACATGATAGTTCCTCAGAAAGTTCTGTGGGGTGAATGGATATTTATATGGGTGGGTGGCTGACTGTACAAGCAAGCTAAGGTTGCCATGATGCTAAGATAGAGTTCTTATAATACTAGTCTCCAGACACGGCCATCACTGTGTGGTGCACTACCACAGAGGAGCACATACACTCAATTCTAGGCCTAATGACTTAAGTGTCATCTGGATATTTTTTAAACTGTTGTATCTAATACATTTTTTTTTGAGATGGGGTCTTGCTCTGTCATCCAGACCGGAGTGCAGTGGCATGATTTTAGCTCACTGCAACCACTGCCTCCTGGTTTCAAGTGATTCTCACGCCTCCGCCTCCCAAGTAGCAGGGATTATGGGCACACACCACCACACCCAGCTAATTTTTGTGTTTTTAGTAGAGATGGGGTTTCACCATGATGATCTGGAACTCTGACCTCAGGTGACCCACTCATCTCAGCCTCCCAAAGTGCTGGGATTATAGGCCTGAGCCACGGCGCCCAGCTGAAAACATTTTTTTTTTTTGAGACAGGGTCTCACTCTGTCCCTGAAGCCTGAATGAAGTGAGACAATAATAATGCACTGCAGCCTCAAACTCCTGGGCTCAAGTGATCCTCCTGCCTTAGCCTCCTGAGTAGCTGGGACTGCAGTCACATGTCATCACAACCTGGCTAATTTATTTATTTTTTTTAGAGATGGGGGTCTCACTGAGTTGCCCAGGCTGATCTCGAACTCCTAGTCTCAAGCAGTCCTCTCTCCCTGACTTACTAAAACTGTGGGATTATAGGCATGAGCTACCGCACCTGGCCATAAAAAACACCTATTTTGATTATATTATTTACTCATTCTTTTTTGTTGTTGTTGTTTCCTAATTGTAGACTAGTTCACATATATTTTTAGATTTTGGATAATTAAATAATATGTATGAAATGTTGTCTCTTCATTTTTTATTATTTTAAAAAATTTAAATAATGTGACTACAGAAAATTTTGAAAGTGTTTTAAATAGTACTATTTCAGTTTTCTAATAAAAATGCTAATATTCTTGTGATCTTTCCATTGTTTTTCCATATCTCCATAGAAGTATTTTAAATATTTGAGATTATATCTGCAAAATTATCTTTATAATGTCAGTTGCTTTTTTTAAGAAGAGAGGTAGAAAGGATATACTGCAGTTCTCTCTTACACTCCATGAACACTACTGCCTTTGCATGCTCTAAGCGTTAGAAGCCAGAGGCCTGAAATTGTTTCAAGTAAATGAAGAATAGCTAATAAGAGGTGATGGAATTGAGTGTTTCTTTGATATAAGAAGTCAGGATTCCAATTGTAGAAAAATAAAATTTCATAGATTTAAATGCATCAACTTCAGTTGGCATAGTTTTATCATTAGATTGTAAACCATCATGGATAAGGCCAAAAGTTTGTTACTGATCTCATTATGCAAAACTGTGGGTTATTTTTAACATTTGATTCAAAACTTTTTTCTCTTTAAAATCTCATTTTTAAAATTAGTGGATAATAGAAAAAAACACTACTTTGATAGAAAAACGTAAGTTTTTATCCTTTGTCATTTATCCTTTAAATTATCATTTAATATAATAGTTTTTATCCTTTAAATTATCATATAATAACATGTTTTTTCTTTTTTTCTTGCCTACTAGAAAGTGTACATCTAAATTTTAATTCTTAATCCTAGTAACCATTTTAGCATATGCTATTAGTACATTTGCTTCTATAATACCTCCTCCATATAGGTTTGATTTTCCATTTTTATTTTATCAACCCCACTGCAATGTAATTTTATCATATTTTCCTATAAACGGGGTATAAATTGTAAATGAATCTGAATTTTGGATGTGCACCTGATTTTATTTTTAATGACGAGTTTTATGCACAGAAAGAGCTTACAGATTTAGCTGTGCTAGCATGTTCTAAAATAGTTCATAGTCTAGTTGAAGAGATAAAAAAATCTTTCTTCTTCTATAATCCCATGGAATGCTTTTACCAGACACAATAATTCATAACCCTTGTTTTGTAGTAGGGTGGTCACAGAGCGTCACCAAAATTCTGATGAGAGTTATAGACCCTCTCATCAGAAAAAATGTATAATGAATACACACACAAACTCATCCAGTGTCATAAGTAGTTTCAGAGGTCTACAACCCTATAAACTCCATTGAATTCCTGGCTTAAACTGTTGTCTTAGAGTGTGAAAAAGGAGCTAACGTTTATTGACCATAAATTAGATACCATTTTGAACCCAAAATGTCCAGAGTTATTTCTGCTGCCCAGTACTGCCATTACCATCACTTCTTCTTACTGCCCTAAAGATCCTCCAAATACTATTGTCTTGAGTAGTAATACTTGTTGGTTAAACTTTTATCTAACATTTCTTAAAATATTGGTGCTAATGCATAGCTAGGTCTTTACCAGTATCAGTATTAATTAAATTGAAAATGAGATGAAACTCAGCCAAAATATACACCTCTTTGAACACATGGACACAGGGAAGGGAACAACACACATTGGGGCCTATCTGGGGGTATGGTGAGGGGAGGGAGAGAATTAGGAAAAATAGCTAATACATTCTGGGCTTAATTCCTAGGTGGTGGGTTGTGAGGTACAGTAAACCACCATGGCACATGTTCACCTGTGTAACCTGCACATCCTGCACATGTACCCCAGAACTTAAAAATAAAAAATAAAATAAATGAATAAAGAGAAAAAGATACATCTCTTTGAATTTAGTAACTTTTAAGAGGTGAATTTTATGTGTTTGTCTTTGAATACATCCTGAAGATTTTTTTTCATCCTAATGAAACTAATGCATAACTAAACCTTGAGCATGTTTGTCAGATGGGGAGAAACAGAAAAATAAACATGACTTATTAATGATCTAAAGAAAACTATCCTTAATGAACTCAAGCATGCTGATATAATGTAATACTGAATGAAACCTTTTTACCATCATGAGTGGAACTGCCTGAACTGGAATTGTTCAGGCCTAAATCCCTAGCCTCATTTATTTACCCAGAAGTGAACACAATTAGATGTTGCTTTATAAAGACATGTTCCTGCTAGGACAGTGTCTGATCGTCTGTCCACAAGATGTGGCAGGTATGGGTTCCCAGACACATAAAGAGAGATAAGTAATATGAGTACATGGCATACTGAATGTAGTCTCTCTCTTTACTAGACATTTGGGCCTGGACCTGGTGCCTCGGAAGGACTTTGAAGTAGTGGACTCGGACCAGATTAGTGTCTCAGATCTCTATAAGATGGTAAGAAATCTAATATGAGGTAGCTTGTTCCTGCATACCTCATTTTTTCTCTTTTGTTTATTTTCTCTAATGTTATGAAACAACATTGCTAAAATTATTATTTTTTGCCTCTTTCCCAGTGTATTTAAGTGGTATTTCTTATTCTGGCCATATTTATCACTCTAGCTTTCCAAATGGGATTCCAATGTAGTAACCTACAGATACTCGGCTTACTAGATTATCTAAGCATTACTTCTTTGTTGACTTTCCTGGTAAACCAGAGTTCCTTCAGCCTGCAGCATAACTAAAGTTATGTTTCTTTCCTCTCATCTGTTTAAAAGAGAAAGTTGTTAAAGCTGGAAAGAGCCAATTATTAGGTAATATAGAAATTGAGCCTGGAAGTATTGTACCAGTCTTTCTAGAGAGACAGAACCTGATATAGATTCTTAGCTATCTGTTGGTTATTATAAAAATCTATTGGGTTGACTAATCAATATTACATTTTATAGTCTAGATGCAAAGTGAGTAAATGAAGGGTACAATATTTTAAAGTAAATAAACAGAAGAAACCTTAGGTGGTGGCAGTTATGCTTAGACTAACAGACTGGATAAAAACTTATTTTGAAGAGTATGTATTTGATGAGTATATATTGGTGAGATTTATAAGTTTTAGAGTCTGTTTAAGAAACTGTAATATTTTTAGGGAACTTAGAGGGTACTAAGTATGTTGCCTGGACAAGGACCTAACGAAATTTGCCTAATATGCTAATAACATATCAATTGCTTCTGCATATTTCCTTGTGTGTACTTACTAGCATACCCAAGCAATTGTGTACAGTTGCTTTAACTATGCTGTATGCAATGCAATAGGTTGATAAGTGTGAGATACAGAGATTAAAGATAGCTGGATGTGGTGGCATGCACCTGTAGGTACAGCCAGCTACTCCGGAAGCTGAAGTGGTAGGATCGCTTGAGCTCAGGATTTTGAGAGGAGCTTGGACAACATAGTGAGACCCATCTATTTAAAAAACAAAAAGTATGAACAAGACTTATCTATTCCCTAAAGAATCTCACTATCTAGGATATTGGTTTCTAATCCCTTTTGGGTCATAGAAGATCAGGTGAAACTTTCTCCCAGGACAATGCAAGTATGCTTTGCATACAAAGTTTTATGATCAGTTTTAGAGAATTGATGGATAGTTTCTCCTGATGCTTGCTGTGAAGCCCATGCATGGACCGTATGTTAGAAACTCTACTCTAGTGGAATCAATAGACCACAGTCAAACAGCCATACGTGTGCTGCATATATGTGCTGTGTAGCATAATTTAAGTATACACTGATGCTCTTAGAGGTAGTGACTGGTTTCCTGGGAGTAGGAAAGGAGAAGGAAAGACATTCCAAAAAGGCACACAGCATATGGAAGTAGCAGTTCCAGGAAACTATATAAGATATTTAATAACTTCAGCATGGAGTACCACTAACTCATGTTAGGGGGAGTCAGGCCAAGAAGGAGACAAAAGTCAGACCATGAAGACCTTTGTATTTCTCAAATTAGACTCTATCCAGTAGTCTGAAAGAAGCATGAGAGTGACATAAGCAGATATTGGTTTCAAATGTTGACTCTGTCTAGAGATAATATAAAATGCAAAAGACTGGAATGAGGGAGGAATCCCATGCATAGAATTCAGAGACCCACAGTAGTGATTCAGGTAAGAAAAATGGCTAGGCAGCAATGGACAAGAGATACAATAAGAATGTAGATGTTTGGAATTAAAACTGATAAATTTTGATGATCAATTAAATATGGAAAGTAAAGAGAGAATGAGAGTTTGAAACTAAGAATTCCCCTTGGAATAGTTGGAGGATGCTGTGTTCTTGATAAAGGTTTTGGATTCTATTCTTAGTGTGACAATAAGCTTGTGAAGGTAATTGAGCAGGAGAATCACATGATCAGCCTTACATTTTTAAAAGATGCCTTTGATTGCTGTGTGGAAAAGGATTGGAGTGGAGCAAGAATAGAAGTAGAGAGGAGTCATTCAAGCAGGAGATCTTAATTTCAGTAGCTTGAGCTAGAGCTGGAAGAGTGAAACTAGTAAGAAGTTGTTGGATTTGGAATATATTTTGAAGTCAGAACCATAGTTGTTGATAGATTAAATTGCCGTACGTGTATACAGGAAAGGGAAAGGTCAGAAAAGAATTATACCTGTGTTTTTGACCTGCCTAATTGTATAAAAGTGAAGTGGGAAACCTTGTGGAAGAAGCAGTTTGCAGAGTGAGGCAGGTAAGGATCTATAGTTCTGATTTTCTTTTCACGTTTGAGATGCCTTTTAGACATCGCACCAGAGATGCTGAAAGACTAGAGCTCATAAGTGAAGTTCAGATAAAACAGTTTTAGAGCCATCATATTACATATGGTATATAAAGCTGTAGGGCTGAATTAGATGACCACCCCCTTGCCCAAACCTTCATACAGTGAAACCCGGTGGCCATACAGCACTTCCAACCAAGCATCAATAGACAAAGCTCTCACGTAATGTTCACTATTTGGGTGATGGGTACACTAGAAGCCCAGACCTCACAGTTTTGCAACATCCATACAATGAATCTGAATCTTCAGAAAAGAGAGAGACAGACAGAGAGAGAGAGAAAGAGAAACAGAGAGAGAGACCAAAATGAACAACATATAAAAGGACCTTGGAAGAAAGAGACAGCCCAATAGAAGAAAATGGTGATTGCTGCCTGCAGAGAGAAATGAGGAAACAGTTAGGAAACAGAGTACAACAATCCAAAGAGCTTTACAAAATTAAAAAGCAGATTACTGGATTACACTTGGAATAAAGGTTAGAAAATAGAAAAAAATCTCCCTGAAAACAGAACAACAACAAAATAAAGTAACAGTAGGAGAGAAAAGGTTTAAAAGTTTAGAGGTTCAATTCAGGAAGCTCAGTATTCAGAAGAGAGAATAAAGAAACAAAGACAATTACTGAAGGAATCATATTAAAAACTTTCTCAGAACATGGATTTGAGTCTCTAGATTTAAAGGGCCCAACATAATTATGAAATTTCAGCTCACTAGAGATAGAGATGAGCTTAAAACTTCCAGAGAGGCCGGGCGCGGTGGCTCAAGCCTGTAATCCCAGCACTTTGGGAGGCCGAGACGGGCGGATCACGAGGTCAGGAGATCGAGACCATCCTGGCTAACACGGTGAAACCCCGTCTCTACTAAAAAATACAAAAAAATAAGCCGGGCGAGGTGGCGGGCGCCTGTAGTCCCAGCTACTCGGGAGGCTGAGGCAGGAGAATTGCGCGAACCCGGGAGGCGGAGCTTGCAGTGAGCAGAGATCCGGCCACTGCACTCCAGCCTGAGCGACAGAGCGAGACTCCGTCTCAAAAAAAAAAAAACAAAAAAAAAACAAACAAAAAAAAACTTCCAGAGAACAAAATGGATTACATACAAAGGATTTGTTGTAATAAAAACATTTGGCTTTCTGATAGCAGCATTAAAAATTAGAAAACATAAGAGCATTACCTTCAAAATTCTGAGGAAATATAACATTCAACCCATAATTCTATATTTACTCAGCCACATTATAAATCAAGTGGGAGAGAAGCCTAAAGAGAATTTTGGTCACTCAGAGTCTCAAAACAACAATAATATCAATGCTCTTTAACTCCTTTTCAGGAAACTACTGAAGAGTAAGTTATTCCTTCTAAAATGAAGGAGTAAATCAAAAGATCTACTGTGTGTTATCTGGGAAAGGGATTCTGACACAATGAAAGCCCTGTTTATTTCATTTTCTGCTAAATGTTCTGTCTTTTTTCTCTCATATATTTGCTTTTTCATACAAACAGTTAGATATGATAAAAAAAACAATTAAAGGAGTCCACAAATTTATTAAAAACCACTTAGGATTTATATGTTAAATTGCACAGTAAATGTTTTGGTTAAATCTTAAAAGTTCAAGATTCAAAAGAATATCCTTTTAGAACCTTTTTGTGTTAACATGTAAATCTATTACTGGAAATTATGAATACTTTATATGAAACTTTCTGATTATAATACTCCTTGTCATTGATTTTGGGGAAAAAATCCTATATGAATAAGATTATACTTAAAGTTTACACTCATAGCATTTTTTAATAAAAAAAATGAAGCCTCCTTACAAATGTTGAATGATAATGATTGATAAAAGTCTCTTTAAATACACAGCTGGATTTTGCATTCTTTTTGTTTGTTTGTTTTATTTTGTTTGTTTGTTTTGAGACAGAGTCTGTCTTTGTTGCCATGGCTGGAGTGCAGTGGTGTGATGTGGGCTCACTGCAACCTCCACCTCCTGGGCTCCAGCAATCTTCCCACCTTAACCTCCCAAGTAACTGGGAGTACAGGTGCGTGCCACCATACTCAGCTAATTTTTATTTTATTATTTATTTATTTATTTATTTAGGTAGAGACGAGATGTCGCCATGTTGCCCAGCCTAGTCTTCAACTCCTGGGCTCAAGCGATCCTCCCACCTTGGCCTCCCAGAATGTTGAGATTATAGGCATGAACCACCGTGCTTAGCAGGATTTTGCATTCTTTATGATGAAAACCAGAGGAAGTCCTTAGTGCTCTTCAATTTTGCATCATAACAACTCTAAATCCATTTTAAACAATAGAAAATTGGTGCTGCCGAAAATATAAAGTATTTCAAAAGCACCACAAACTATTTTTGTTAATCTTAATTAGCCATGCATCTTTGTGAGATGTGACACTCAAAAATTACATGAGAGTTTCTAAATTGTGGCGAGATCTAACAGAATGCTCACATTATAGCTCCCTGCTTCATTATTATCCATCCACATTGTCATGTATTGGGATTTATGTTTGCCTGTTGTCTTCTTGTGTTAATATTTTTAATAGCTCAATGTTTATACATTCATTTCTGGGATAAATCAATTAGATTCTTTACTAAAAATCATTGATTTTATATGCTTCATCCTTTCATAGATTCTGACTAGATATACCTTATATTTCCTTGT